TAGATGTACAACATTGTGATTTGACAGTTCTCTACATTACTCAATGTTTACCATAAGCATAGTCACCATGTCACCATATATTATTACAATATTATTGACTATATTCCCTATGCTGTACTTTTTATTTCTCTAATTACTTATTTTATAACTGGAAGTTTGTGCCTCTTAATTTCCTTTACCTATTTGCCCATCCCTTTATCCTCCTCTGCTCTGACAGCCACCAGTTTGTTATCTGTATTTATGAGTCAGTTTCTTTTGTTTTACTTTGTTTTTCAGCATTCACATGTAAGTGAAATCAGATGGTATTTGTATTTTTCTGTCTGATTTATATCACTCAGCCTAATACCCATCCATATTGTTGCAAGTGGCAAGGTGTCATTTTTTTGTGTGTGTGGCTGAATAATCCAGTGTGTGTGTGTGTGTGTGTGTGTGTGTGTGAGATAAAGAAGATAATATCTTCTTCATCCATTCATCTATTGGTGGACATTTGGGTTGCTTACATCTCTTGGCTATTGTAAATCATGTAGTGAACATAGGAGTACATACATCTTTTCAATTAGTGTTTTAGTTTTATTTGGGTAAGGAGTAGTGGAATTACTAGATCATATGGTATTTCTCTTTTTGATTTTTTTGAGGAGTCTCCATATTGTTTTCCACAGTGGGTGCACCAGTTTACATTTCCACCAGCAGTGCATGTGAGGGTTCTCTATTCTCTACCATCCTCACCAGCACTTGCTATTTCTCTGATTGAAGTTGGGTGCACTGAGCCAAACTGGCCAACTAAACCACATGGGATAGATTCACTATCACCAGGAGTGGTTTGCTTCCAAAGACAGGGCAAAAGATGCTGGTCAGACAAAAGGACTATATCTACAACAGATAGTTCTCTGCTTAACCTCCCACACTATCTGCCAACACCCCATAGGAATCCTTTTTCTACTTTTGATACCCTGTGCTAACAGGACCCATATGGTGACTGCAGAGTGACATGAACAGGACAGCAGTTTTTTACATGGAAGAATGAGATTGGCTGCTTTACTTGGATATCACATAAGACGTTCATACTCAGTGTGTTTAGAATTAAACTCATCAACTTTCCCAACTAGTTCCTTTGAACCCAGTCTTATAATGATAAACAAGATATGGTTACTGTTGTTACAAGTTACATGGTTACAAGTGTTGGTCAACAAATAAAGTTGGTCCATTAACTACAGGTATTCTTTTTTTTATCATATGAAACAAAAATAAATGAAAATAATTCTTATTCTATGTTTGGCAGAGAATTTACCCCTGAATATTATATTATTTTGTAAATTCTCTGTAACGTGGTTATATAACATGTCCTTTATCATTGCAAAACTTGCAAAGAGAAAGGGTTATTTGATACAGCCCTACCTTTTGGTCTCCTATTTAAAAGTTTTATTGCCTGTGTAGAAATGTATCTGATACTAGCTGCCTCAAAAACCCAAGGTCTCTGATTATGTATGATCTTTCTCTGGAAGTTATTACAGTTTATACAAATATGTTTTGTCTGTTTTAGACTTTAAAAGGTTTTTCAGAGAGCAGAATCTCATTATTAATCTTATTTAAGTTGCATGTTTTCATATAGCTATAGTATGTGCCATATGCCAAGCACTACCACTGTACTAGTGCTTAGGGTTACAAAAATAAATACACATTGCCCTCAAAAAGCTTACAGTTTAATGAAGAGTATAGGTAAACCAACAGTTAACTGTAATACAGTCTGACATTTGCTATAGCAGAAGTGATCACAGATTGAAATTAAGTCTTGTCTCATGATTGCACTGTGAATTGTGGTTAAACTAATCTTTTTTACCCCCAGAGTCTTTCTTCAGTTCATGTGGTAGTTTACATAAACTAAGTGAAGAGCCACTGATTCCTCCTCCACTTCCTCCTCGAAAAAAGTTTGATCATGATGCTTCAAATTCCAAGGTAGTCAATAAGACTTAGGTTTGCCTTAACTTATTCAACTTACTCAAAGCTGTGAATCTTCAAAATAGTTCTTGTTCTTATAAAAAGTCTGTCAATTATAATTGGCTACCCTTTAGGGTTTTTTAAACACTTCAGTTGTTTTATTTGAAAAAATACTTGAAATAATCACTTAATTCTCGTTAATTTTTTTTTTTCAACAAAGGTTGGGCAGACTTTGACAGATCCTCAGAAGTATGTTTTCTTTCTGGTAGAAATGGAAAAAACTTTAATAGTCAAAGCATTCTTCAAACTTTAAACCAGCACTTCTCAAACAGAATCACCTGGGAGGCTTGTTAAAACCCTATTGCCAAGTTTCAGATTCAGTAGGTCTAGGGTGGGACCCAGGAATTCGCATTTTTTAACAAGTTCCCTACTGGTACTGATGCTGCTAGTTACTGGATCACACTTTGAGAATCATCCCAGTAAGCCTCCCTGGGGAAAGTAAAAGTAGAAGACCAGAAAGCAGAAGCTGGACATTGAGTCCCCTTGACATCATGTACTTTAATGTCTACAGAGTTATGTATTGCTTTCACTCACTTGCCTGTTATAATTAAAATGCATAAATTTTTGAAAGGTGTATAAATCAAGATACCCTGAAGCTTTTTGTTCTAAAGTTTCAAGTAAAACATCTCATATATAAAAATATTAAACTGGGCCCCAAATTAAACTGGGAGCATTTTACTCAGAAATCTGGCTTAAATCAGATTAACCTATTTGGAGCTTCTGGATTTAACTGAACACATAAGAATTTTTCATTCTTAAAAAAAAAAAAAAGAATTTTTCATTGTTTTAAAACTTAACAGATTTTTCAGGAGAATGGAAGTATAATTTAATTTTTTTTTTTTGAGGGAAATACGAAATCTGATGATGACCCTCCTGCTATTCCACCAAGACAACCTCCTCCTCCAAAGGTAAAACCTAGAGTTCCTGCTCCTACTGGTGCATTTGATGGGCCTCTGCATAGTCCACCTCCACCGCCACCAAGAGATCCTCTTCCTGATACCCCTCCGCCAGTTCCCCTTCGTCCTCCAGAACACTTTATAAACTGTCCATTTAATCTTCAGCCACCTCCACTAGGACATCTGCACAGAGATCCAGACTGGTTCAGAGACGTTAGTACCTGCCCAAATTCGCCAAATACTCCTCCCAGCACACCCTCTCCAAGAGTACCACGTCGATGCTACCTGCTCAGTTCCAGTCACAACAACCTTGCTCATCCTCAAGCTCCCCCTGTGCCACCAAGGCAGAACTCAAGCCCGCACCTACCAAAACTGCCACCAAAGACTTATAAACGGGAGCTTTCGCACCCCCCGTCATACAGACTGCCTTTACTAGAAAATGCAGAAACTCCTCAATGACCTTAGCCATATGTAGTCATTGACACTGGAATGGTATTTGTAAAGGGTTTTTTTTTTTTTTAATTTATTCAAAAAAGGCGCATAGTATTTTAGTACTTTTTACGAATAATGCTCTTACAAAAATGCTACTGATCAAATAAGCTTTTAAAAATTGGAAAAATAAAAATACAGAAGTCCTTTATCATTATCCTCAGGTGATCAGTAGCATTGCCTTTTCTTGGATCCTCAGTGCTGCCAAAAGGCCAGTATAAAGAATTTATATTTGCACTGTAGACTCTGCTAAAATATGGTTTAAAGTAACATTGATTGCACTGAAAGGGGATAGTGCATTTGTGGAATTTTTCAAATTTGAGTAATAGATGCCTTTTTAAGGCAGTGAATTTACACAAATATAGGGGGTGTACAGTATTACTGATTTTTAAAACTCTTTGACCATCTTCTAGTTTTTACATTTAGGGGAATTGTGAAAAACACCCACTGTTCTTAAACTTTAATGCCATGTCTTAAATGCCAGAATTTGCTGCTGAAGACAAAAATGAAAAATAGAATGAAAATAATAGATGCACTGTTTATTATTTTGTCAAAATGTATACAGAGACTACCTAACCCAATCATGGAGGGAAAAAGGGCATGTATCTCATTCAGATGTGCCTTTTGTTTTTGGAGACTATGGTGTCTTTAGCTAATGAGTTGCCTATTGTTTTGGAAAACAAAGTTAATTAATATGCCAAGTATGTACAGTTTTGTTTATATTGTATATTTAAAGAATGCTAATAACTTACTATATAAATTTAAGTGACTCGAGGCCTATAATACAATCTGCTACTTTACTAATTCAGAAATTCAGAGGAAAATTTCTTATGGCATAGGAACCAACTGCCTTGCCCTCAAAACCTAGTAACCTTCTCTATAAATCTCATGTTAACTACAATTTTTTTTAAATATTTTTTTTAGATTGGTAACATTTAAACCAGCAAACATACCTAAAGCTTTATTAAACTTTTTATTCAGAGAAGTGAGTAAAACTTTTATTTGCCATTTGGACTCCTGAGTTCAAAGTGATGAAAAAGCGTGTTTTGCTGATAGTGCTGTAGCAGCAGTTGTAAAATAGCCAAAAGCCACGTTGTTGTTTATTTACTGGTCTGTGGCCTTTTAACTGTGCTTTGTATCAGAGTTCTTAACAAGATTAATAAATCACCCCAGTCTTAATTTTTAAAATACGTGTTTTCATTATAAGTAACAAGGGGAGAGCTTGTTGAGTTCTGTGGAAATACATACACATGTCCACATTATTGTCATTATTTTGGGCAATTTAAATTACATAATCCCAAAGAATTTAAATGTTGTAAATTTTAGAAGGATAACTTTGTCCTGTTAAAACGCGATCAGCAAACTTCCAGCAACCATTTTTATGCATTCAGATGAAAATCAGGAGCATGCTAGGAAACTCTTGATAAGAGAGGATTGTTGCCTTCTCGGTAGGATCTTGGAAACTGCCTGGATTTAAGGCCCAATAACTACCGTATGAATTAGTCTCCAGGTAAACACACTCTTGAGTTTGCCTTTGGCTTTTAAAGAGCAGATTACAATATCAGCTTTGTCTGGAAAAGTGATTTAAGCTGCCTGCTTGTTAGGCCACACTTGTAATTTAGAGGCGTGAGGCGGACCTACCCTCTGGGGAAGCGGGCCGCTAGGCCTCGACCACGCCCAGGTAATGCGGCCTTCCCAGCTTCGTGCCTTTGCGCACGCGTCGTGGCGCCAACTTCGCCACTAGGAGGCGCCGGGCCCTGTCCAGGCCCGCCGTGGGGAGGTGCGTGTGGATGTGACGTCACTGCGCACGCTGCATCTTGTTGCCGGGCAGCGATGGCGGCTACCGTGGAGTCCTCGGTGGAGGACCCGCTGCGGAACTTTGTTCGAGTTTTGGAAAAGCGAGATGGCACGGTGTTACGACTGCAGCAATATGGCTCCGGCGGCGTGGGCTGCGTTGTTTGGGACGCTGCCATCGTCCTTTCTAAGTACCTGGAAACGCCCGGGTTTTCCGGCGATGGGCCCCACGCTCTGAGCCGGCGGTCGGTGCTGGAGCTGGGCTCCGGCACCGGGGCCGTGGGGCTCATGGCTGCTACTCTCGGGTAAGAGCTGGCGGGAGGGGGTGCCGCTTTGTTTGGGAAACCAGGATTCCTGCTTTATCACGCTTGTGCCTACACTTCAGTCGACGTTATTTTATAGGGCCGATGTGGTGGTCACAGATCTGGAGGAATTGCAAGACTTGCTGAAGATGAATATTAGTATGAACAAGCATCTTATCACTGGTTCTGTTCAAGCCAAGGTACTGAAATGGTTTGTATGGCCTTTCAGCTTGTTTTAAGATAACGATTTGTGGTTTGCTTTAAATTGCGTTTCGCTAAAAGCATAGTTAATACAAAGGGGACTTTCCAGAACTTTTTTTATAAAACAATAAATTATTAAAGCAACAGTTAAAATATTTGTTGGAATTTTAAGGGGGGAAGCAGTAGAAGACTTTCCTTCTCCGCCAGACTACATACTGATGGCCGACTGCATATACTACGAAGAGGTAAGTAGTCATTGAGTGAAGTGTCTGTCTTTACAAGTTGTATTATAATTCGTGGATTCCATAGTGCACATGTCTTCGCACTTTAACATCACTGAATGCAGGATAGTTTTCCTATAGTTGATGACACAGTAAGGAACATTAAGTTTACCAGGAACAACCACATACACTCAGGTTAAACATATAGACCTGTGAAACATGTTGACAGAAGTGTTGCCTGCATTTTACTAAAGGCTTCTGTAAAAATCTTCTTTTAAAGGTTTTGTCATTTGGATCTGTTACGAAAAGCTAAGGTTTTTTTAAGCTCTTCCTGGTGAAGGTGTTAACCATGACATTGAGAATTAAGTTTCGTTGTAAAGAATTCATTGCTCTATGGCAAGATTGATTCAGAATAATACTTTTTAAAATATCAGTTTGTATATATTGTGGGCATCACTCATTTTTAAAATAATAAAACATTGAACTAACATGTTCAAGTTAGGGTTAGATTCACTTTTGTATGGTAAAGTACGGTAAAATCCCAAATTAAAATAGATTAAATAAAATTAATTTTTTAAGAGTGAAGATAATTCTATTTGTTTTCCCCTGGGGATACCAAAATGTAGTCACCTGGAAACAAATCGATACAATGGTTAATTAATTAAGAGTACTTTACCAATCATTAGTTACAGAGCTTTAAGCACATGTACTTTGTTGATTGATTCAAAAATAGATAAAATGGAGGGGAATTATAGTTACCCTCCATTTCCCCTACCCCCTTTTTATAGTAAAAATATAAATTTCTAAAAATCATAAGTAAACGTGATATTCCTTTTTGAACAGTCTTTGGAGCCGTTGTTGAAAACTCTAAAAGATCTTAGTGGATTTGAGACTTGTATTATATGTTGTTATGAACAACGAACAATGGGAAAAAATCCAGAAATTGAGAAAAAATATTTTGAGGTAAGTACTAGATCTGTTTTGTAGTGCTAACCCTTCAGCGAGGCTTTATATGACTATGTGCTCAAGTATATTATGGTAATTTTGAGTGGAGAACACATTCTGCTTGCTTAAATCCAAGGAGAGAATCCTTTATTGCCCAGCATTCTATTAAGCTCCCCCATCCTGCCCCCCGACCAACCTTTTTCATCTTTTCTGATCCTTTCTTTTTTCTTTTCTAATTAGTTGATATAGTATCTACAGAACAATTTAAAATGATAACGGTGACACCCTTGTCCTTTCTGGGAAAGTGTTCAGTGGGTTATTTTTTCTTTTTTAAAGATTTTATTTATTCATGAGAGAGACAGAGACATAGGCAGAGGGAGAAGCAGGCTCCCTGTGGGGAGCCTGATTGGAGACTCAGACTCAATGCCAGGACCCCAGGGTCATGACCTGAGCCAAAGGCAAATACTCAACCACTGAGCCACCCATGCATCCTTCAGTGTTTCTTTATTAAACGTGATGCTGGCTTTTGGGAACTTACTAATGACGTGTGTATTACTTTTGGAAAGTACATCATAGAAACATATGTGATTATGTTTTTACTTTCTGGTTTTGGGATGGAGTGTTTTTGTGCTTTTTGTTTTGTTTTTTTTTAAATAAAGACTCACAGGAAGTTGCAAATTAGTATATAGAGCCCCATGTTTTTTTCATCCATCTTCCCCCAGTGGTCATCTAAAACCCTTTTGATGGCAAAAATCCATCATAATACGAGTGATTCCTCTTGAGGGTATATCTATACAGCTCTGCAATTTATCCACTGAAAAGACTACTTTGCTTGAATAAGAATCCAAATACCTGATTCTGCCTCAGATATGTGCTAAAATGGTTTTTAATTTTCATGTTTTTCTTAAAAGTAAAGAATGTTAATGAACCTTTGAGACTATAATTGAAAATTCTCTATTGTTAAACAGTTTACATTGAGTCAGAACACATGTAAAATGCATATATATCAAGTGCTTGACTCAATTTTTCATATGTATACACCCAAGTAACCACCCTCCATAAATAGAACATTTTTCAGGACATCAGAAGGCTCCCATGTGCCCTTTTCCAGGCAGTACTCCTCCAAAGTTGACTGTTGTTCTGACTTCTGTCACCACAGGAAACTTCCTATTCTTGAATTTGAAGTATATCTCTTTTAAATTTATAGCTCCTACAGCTAGACTTTGACTTTGAAAAAATTCCTTTGGAGAAACATGATGAAGAATATCGAAGCGAGGATATTCATATTTTATACATCAGAAAGAAAAAATCGGTAAATACATTCCCAGCTCTTTATCCTCTGAGATTTCATTAGCTGGGCATTGTCTCTGGGCTAATGTGTGGAGTATTGTGTTGATTTTTATGTAGGGAAACATTTGATGACTCACCAGAGTGAGGTACTCTGAGCGTTCGATCACTTAATCTATCTGGTCTTGTATTCTTCCTCTAAAATAAAACAGGCTTCTTTAATAAAGATCCCCTTCCCATCTGCAAATAATAGAGCTTTATGATGGGCATTACCTTGGGCAAATAACTTAGCTATTTTACATTTCTGATAATCTCTCAGAGATTTAAAAATGCCAGTTCTGACTTTTGTGAACTTTGTCCAACCATTCAATTTTTTAAAATAAAGTATAATAAGGTAGATCTGTCCAGTAAATAAAAATGCACTCAGTTACACAGAGCTTATGTATGTCCCGCTTTTTTGTTGCTTGCTTTATTACCTGTTACAATAATTATATTCTATGTAAGTTGCCTCTGTATGCCTTGAGTTTGCACCTGTAGAAAGGAAGAATTATATCTCATCCATTATGTAACACCTTTTTTATATGTGACTAGTATAAGACAAGGACATGATCTAATTTATGAATCAAGGATGCTAAATTTAGTAAGTCACATTTGTTACTATTATCTTTGTTTTGACTGAATTTATTCGTGATGACGTTTTTTGATTATGTGAGTTCTAGCCAAAAGCAAATTACTTATAATTTGAGGGATCCAGGTTAAAACTATGAGGAAAGTGAGGTGGTGAGATTAGCAATTCAGATCTACTAACTTTCATTTAGCACGGTGCTAGACATACAAAGATAAATTTTAAAAATGTTTTATGCCTTAAGGAATCTGGTTTTAGTTCAAACTGCTGGGTAGTTTTAAAAGTAGAATTTTTCATGAGGCATAAAGATTTTGTGTCTCCTAAAATGTAAAGGCTTTTTTCTTTTTCAAAGAATCACTTCTTTTTAAAAAATTGATAAACACTTTTAAAATGTACAATTCAGTGGTTTTAATATATTCACAGAGTTGCGCAAACATCACCACTTTTTAATTCTAAACATTTTTTTATCACCCCAAAAAGAAACCCCATTCCCATTAGCAGTCACTTCCTGGTCCTGCCTCCCCATAGCCTGTGGCAGCCACCCATCCGTTCTTTGTGAAGTTGCCTATTCTGAACATTTCTTTTTTTTTTTTTTTTTTTATTTATGATAGTCACATAGAGAGAGAGAGAGGCAGAGACACAGGCAGAGGGATAAGCAGGCTCCATGCACTGGGAACCCGACGTGGGACTCGATCCCGGGTCTTCAGGATCGCGCCCTGGGCCAAAGGCAGGCGCCAAACCACTGCGCCACCCAGGGATCCCCTGAACATTTCTTAGAAGTGGAATCACACATTATGTGGCTTCCTGTATCTGGCTTCTTACAGTCAGCACTGTGTTTTTAAGGTTTATCCATGTTGTAGCACACATCATAAGCACTTAACTCCTTTTTATAGTTTTTTAAGTAAAATACAGTTTTAATATTTTTTTTTTTGATATACTACACCTATCCATCCATTCATCAGTCAATGGCATTTCAGTGGTTTTTCACTTTTTGGCGATAATGAATAATACTGCTATGAATTTTTGTGTGACTTGTATTTTCAGATCTCTTGGGTATATACCTAGAGTAGAAATACTAGGTCATATGGAAATTTGGTTTAACTTCAGGGAATTTGCCAAACTCTAATTCATAGCTGCTGTACCATTTTTACATTCCCACCAGCAACAGCTGAAGGTTCTAATTTCTTCACAGCTTCACAACGCTTGTCATTATCTATCTTTTTGATTATAGCCATCTCAGTAGATGTGAAGTAGTATTTCATTATGGTTTTTATTTTCATTTCTCAAGTGATTAATGTTCAATATCTTTTCATGTATTTATTGGCGATTTGTGTATCTTTATAGAAATACTTTGCCTGGTTTTTTTGTTGTTTTTTTAAAATTTTTTTTACTTTGCCTATTTTTAAATTGGGTTGTCTTCTTACTCAACTCTGTTGAGTTGTAACAATTCTTTATATATTCTGGATACTAGACCCTTACCAGAGACGTAACTTCCAAATACTTTGTCCCATTCTGTGGTTTGTCTTTTTTTCTTTTTTTTTTTTTCTTGATAGTATGTCCTTTGAAGCACAAAACTTTTTAGTTTTGATGATGTCTAGTGTATCTGATTTGTCCATGGTTGCTTTGCTTTAGGTATCAGCAAAAAAACCATCTCTAAAAGTTATGTACAGTTACTCATTTGTATTGCATTTAGCCATTATTAGGCATATTACTTAGTAGCAAGTACCCAGTAAATTCTTAATTTTTTCCTAAGAAATCAATCTTTAAAGGTTCCTTTTTTTTTTTTCTTATAGAAATCTCCATCGTGAAATCTTTAGCCATCTTACCCAAGCCTCTAACAACCTGGGTAAGCTAAAGATGTGAATGGAGCATGTGAATACAGCATGGGAAGATTGTGTTCACAGATTTTTCCAGCATGTCCATAGAGATTCAATATATAACTGACAACCACCATGGGCTGCCTGCAATTTGAAAAATGATTACTGACTGCCTGCCTGCCAGTGGGCTTGAAATCCAACTTAGTTTACTTTTAGCTCAGCATCAAGTTCCACTTAAAAGAACATTGTTTATCAGTCACTCCTCAAATGAAAATATAAGTGTTGAGGTTTGCCAAAAGCCTGCCAAAAATAAACAATGAAGTGGCATGGTTGACTTGGCGTTATTTTCAGAAAACTAGAGATAAATTGGTCCAATTTCTAAAGAGTAATAATGTAATGTAATTCTGTTTAAGTTGCAACTAATAAAATTTAGTTGTCTATAAGATCGATAAATATAAAGGTTGGTTTTTATTTTAATTATGCAGTGGTTTTTGTCATATGTATCTTCCACTCTATTGCTATTATTAAGATAGCTTTTGTATTTAAATGTTCTTTTACTTTAAAAAAAAAGAAAACCTGAATATACTGTTTTGTATACTTACGTTAGCCAAAGTTTTATTCTTTTCCTCCACTGTACTCATCTATGTGAGTTAGATAGTAAATTATATTGTAATGAGTTGTAGGAATGAAAGTAAGAAGTCAGGAGGGAGGAAGAGATATCTTTATAAACTTTTTCATTGGAGAATAGAACAATAATAAAAAGTCCAGTTTTAGGCTTGTGCACTTATATGGCTCTTGCACTTTTCTTCATGTATATCTTCCATGAAAATGTCTGAAATCACTGGCGTTGTTCACATGAAACAAAGATTTTAAAATAACTGCAAATGTATTGCTGTATACATTTACCAAGTGATAATTGATTCTGTGTATTTTCTGTTTTATGTCATGATAATCAGTTGCTCGCAGACTGGTCTATCAAGGACTTCAGTCATACCAATTATGAAGAGTAATACTAACTGAATAGAATTCTGGTACTTGTGGTATTGGTGCTAGGTGGCACATTTTATGTATTAAAATAAACATTGTTTCTGAGATCCTGTGATTTTGTGAATGTTTCAGAAATAGCTTTGAAGAAAATGAACATCTAAAGCAGGCTTTCCAGAAAAAGCAAAAGCAGCCCTATTTAGAGAAATTGAAGATCCAAGTCAGAAGAACCATTCTTTCCTTCAGGCTTTCTTCAGTCTTTAAAGTTTGTTTTGCTGTTCTTTTTGAAAGTACGTTGTTCATGCTGCCCTTAGCATTTCATTAAGCTGTTTGCCAAGCAGTATAAACTAAATATACGATTCTTTGTTAGTTACAGATAGCATCAGTTAATTACTAGCGAAGTCTTGGCACAAATGACTACTTTCTAGCCTGTTCCATAACGCTGTGGAACTTAAAAAAATAAGTCTGACATTGACCAGCTAAGTAGTCCACCCAAATGCTCAGATCCCTGTTCACCCTCCTCCTCTTTTTACTGTACTTCTAATATTCAGTACCTCTGGGTCTTCCGCCTGAAGTGCCCCATGACATTCCCATATGAAAGCCCAGCTCCTTTTTCTTACATAGGTGCGCCTTACACTCCAAAATCCTCTGGAGGAGTGGGGTTGAGATCAGTCTCTAGAGCTTTGCCAGAATTACCCTATACTTGTGTGTGCTTCCATCCCTTCCCTGTCTATTCCCACTCTCTTACTTGATTTATCACCTCCTTAATACGTCACTTGCATACATTCATCGCCATCTGTTCTGGAGAAATGACCTAAGCTACTGACTAGATTTAAGTAGTTTGTAACATTAAATCATGGGATTTTTTTTTTTTTCCTATTCTGGAAAAGGCCAAAGCAGAGATTAAAAAGTACCAAGTCTCAAATTAGAAAAAGCTACCAAGTCTCCACATTGTTAGATCAGAGAACCACTTATAGTTAGGATCAGTGAGCACTGTGGGGCTTACTGAAGGCTGCCAGTTGAAGCAACATGCCCTATCATGAACCACCATTTCACAGACAGCCAAAGAGGCCTGGGAGAGGTCTCTTTGGAGGAGTACAGTGCTGAGGAATGGGAGGTAGGTAGTCCTTTGGGCTCTCTTATGAGGGAGAGAACAGGGGGCATCTGCACTCAGAAACAGAAGGGAGGTGTGAAAGAATAATTCAAGATTTAGGATTCTTCTAAGAAGGGGAACCCAATATTTCCTCCACCTAGTTGGATTTTTTTTTTTTTTCGAAAATTTTATTTATTCATGAGAGACACAGAAAGAAAGGTATAGGCAGAGGGAGAAGCAGGCTCCCTGCAGGGAGCCTGATGCAGCACTCAATCCCAGGGTGTCCTGGGATCATGACCTGAGCTGAAGGCAGATACTCAACCACTGAGCCACCCAGGTGTCCCTCCACCTAGTTGGATGCACCCAGCAGAATAGCATATCTGTGTTTTTATTTCAGAGCATGGGAATGAAATTGGGAGAGGTGGGGACTGTCACCCAGAGAGAGAAAGATGGGTCCTGCCAGCCAGAGTATTGACACAGGAGTTGAAGGTCAGAGGACTCGGGCAGCAATATGGGGAAATTCAAAGGCAGGTGCAGTAGATGAGGGAGGTGTGATGCCACAGACAGGATCAACCAAAAAACAGCCAGCTCCAATCTCAAGGGATTGCCAGGGCTTGGGGCAGGTTGGGGGACAGCTCAGGAATGAAATTCTAGGCCTCTAGGTGAGGTGGGGGTTGCCACTGAGCACCACAAAACCCATAGATCAGTTACCAGAATGCTGTTATAGCTGATTAGGGAGCCCCCATTGTAAGGCAGTGTTTCTCAAACTAGGCTGCACATGGAATCACCTGGAAAATTAAAAGCAAACAAAAGCCATGTTCAGGTCCCAATTCAATTAAGAGGCACAGAATTTTGGTTAAAGGGATCCAGGTGGTTTGACTGTTTAGCCTAAATTGAGAACTGCTTTGTTAAGGAAACCTCTTCTAGCACCTACTTCCCAAGGAGAAGAGAGCAAAGGGAGGAGAAATAAACCATCCATGATTAGAGTGGGCCTATACTGTGTAAGGAAGGAAAGAGCTTTGAATCCAATGTGGAATCCCATGAAACAGGTTTTAAAATAAGACTGAGGTTGAGAAATTGTTTACCTGAAAATTTAGAGAACCTGGCCAAAAAGTTAAAGGTGATGCAGCTCAAGAGGAAAGCGGAGTCCAGTAGCTGGAAAAATGAAATTATTACAGGTTAGTCTCCAATGACTTGAGTCTCCCCTGTATACCAGTTACAACTAAAGATCTTTGAGATTGCATAACTTGGAATCTCAGTTCATAACAAGGGTCTGTGAATCTTATGTTTCATGAGCTTGAGAATGAAGTTAGGTTATTTTTGCTTATTTTAAGAAGTATTAATCCAGGGGATCCCTTGGTGGCTCAGCAGTTTAGCGCAGCCTTTGGCCCAGGGCGTGATCTTGGAGTTCCCGGATCAAGTCCCACATCAGGCTCCCTGCATGGAGCCTACTTCTCCCTCTGCCTGTCTGCCTCTCTGTGTCTCTCATGAATAAATAAATAAAATCTTAAAAAGTATTAATCCAGATTGTTAGTGGGATTTTTACAAGGCTACCTTTTTCTTGAAAGTTTCCTTGTTAAATGATGCCAAATGCAATATTAACTCAGACTGTAAATACTGTATTAATTTAAAGAAGTGTGGGTTATAGAAATAGGACTGTTATTCTAAAGTTTCCCTGTAGATGGCATTGCTTGACTTTGTCTTTAGACATTTGATAAAAAAAGTTGTTAAAATAGAGTATTTTGAAATGGAATCACACTTGCATTAGATTTTAAAGAATCAAACTACTTATGAGCTGCTTTTGAGTATAACGTGGTCATCTTAGTGTGTTTGTGCTGCTAGAACAAAGTATAAACTGGGTGGCTTATAAACCACAGAATTCTATTTCTCAGAGTTCTGGAGGCTGGGAAGTTCCAGCAAAATCTAGGCTCCAACTTTCTCATAGGTAGCTGTCTTCTTACTGTAGAAGAGCAAAGGATTGCCATGGGGTCTCTCATAGGGCACTGATCCTATTTATGAGAGTTTCACTCCCATGACCTACTCATCTCTCAAATGCCCACCTCCAAATACTGTCACACTGGGGGAATAGATTTAGCATGAGATTTTTGGCGGGGTGGTGGCAGGGAGTGGACACACAAGCATTCAGATCATAACAATAGTATAGGTAAAGCTGAAGTTTTTTCTTATAAAATTGTATTTGATTTATCTTTATGTCCATTGCATTCTGATATGCCTTTTGAATTTCTGATTATTCATAAAGGTACAGAAATTGCAATCCGTAAACCATTTCTCTGCTATTGATGTCTTCTGAGAGAGACATTTAAGAGGCTAAATTAATTGGTCAGGTTCTGAAAATGAAAGTACCTTTTATATAATGTATGGTTTTATGTTTGAGGTGCTCGAAACTTCTAATTAATTTTAAGTAGTTTTTCAAACCAGTGTACCTTCCTTACAGAGTAATAAGTAGCTTTTACATGAAAAAACTGAAGCTCTGTCTTTGCCTTTTCCACAGTCCTGTAGGCTTGGGCTATCTATTTGACTTTTTGTCTTTTTCCTCAAGGAACATCAGGATTTGAAAAAGCTTTTGATTCATTGATAATAAGCATCTTAAAAGAATAGTCAGTTTTCAGACTATAGAGACTTTCAAACTAATACAGAAAAAAACTGTGGCAACAAAATTTTACTGAAAATTAGTCAAGTAATGGAGAAGCAAAGTTTTCACTTTACATAATTTTGAGTAAGAAAGCAGTGAATTCTCAAACCATGTATACTTGTTGGGTTAAAACTGTTACATATGTGGGGTCATTTAAGATACTGTCTTAGGAAAAAAAAAAGATACTGTCTTAGGTTCTTAAGTATTGGTTGGGGTTTTGTGAAGATCTAGTGAGTCATCAATTGTCAGATAGATTTTATGTAATTTCCCTGTTAATAACAAGATAATTTTCAAATAATATACTTTAAAATGTATTAGAGCAAATTATCTCCATGATAATGTTTTTCTCATGTGCATTCTGAAAAACGTGTCAGAGCATAAAGACCAAATTATCTGGGCTTGAATTCCAGTTCTGCCATTTACTAGCTGTGTGACCTTGAGAAAGTTATTTAAACTGTTTGTGTCTGTTTTCTCATATGTAAGGTGAGGGTCATAATAATATCTACATGGTAATTTGCCACAGGAATTAAATCCATTTAATACATGTAATATGCTTAGGTACCTGGCACATATTAAGTGTTCAGTAAAGGTGATTATAGTAGAGGTGTAATTACTTTACACATAGGGACTAGGAAAATGTGTGTAATATAAATCAATTTTTATCTATATTGCAGTGCAAAATCTGGGCATCTTTTTGAGTATAGGACCCATGTAAATATCACTCCCCCATCATAATGGGAATGGCACCTGGAGTAGAAGAAGGATGAGAACGCTGTTCTACACCCCTGTTATTTGAACAAGTAAGCAATTTTAGAAAGTGGAAGAAAATGGGGTGACAAAAATGTTTGCCCCTCTTTTTTATGGTTTTAAGTAAGTGCCATGGCCATTTAAAAGCCAATTGAAACAGGAGACTCATTTCTAAATACAGGAGCCTGGGTTTGCTGGCTGGTGCTCCAGGATTAACATTCCACCTCCCTGGACCTTGAGCCAGATCTTCCTTCTGTGGTTCTTATCTCTGTAAAACTGAGACCACTTAGGTGGCAGGTATTGAAGTATAGCAGCAGGTCATTTTTCTGAAGTGAGACTTGATGTATCTATATAATTCTTTTCAAAGTTTAGGTATATCAACCCTGAAAGAGCAAGGTGACTGTAAAATACTTACGTTAGCAGTTAACCTCCCAGATAAACAGTCTTTTACCATGTAATGAGTATATATGATGGGTTGCAGAAGCTTAGCTTAGCTAATGCCTTGGGCTACCAGGCTGTGTCTGCCAACAGATAAGAGCGAGAGAACCTTGAATTGGACCTGTTTCTTCATCAGCCAATGTAAAGAGGTACATGGGCTTACCTGCATTTATTAAATT